AAAATAGAAACACCAATCAGAAAGGATATATGTACCCCTATGTTCATAGCAGCACAATTCACCATAGCTAAGATCTGGAAACAGCCTAAGTGCCCACCAGTAGATGAATGGATTAGAAAACTGTGGTACATCTACATGATGGAATACTATGCTGTTGTAAAAAAGAAGGAATTCTTACCATTTGCAACAGCATGGATGGAACTGGAGAGCATTATGCTAAGTGAAATAAGCCAGTCAATGAAGGAAAAATACCACATGATCTCATTCATTTATGGGTAATAAAGACCATTACCAACTTATGAACAAAAATAGATAGAGAGGCAGAGCAGCCTCAAACAGACTGTCAAACTACAGTGGGAAGGCCGGGGAGGGTTGGGGGCAGGAGGGGAGGGTAAGAGATCAACCGAAGGACTTGTATGCATGCATATAAGCATAACCAATGGACATAAGACACTGGGGGGTAGGGGAGGCCAGGGAATTGTCAAGGGCGGGAAAAAAAGGAGACATATGTAATACCCTTTGTAATACTTTAAGCAATAAAACAATTTAAAAAAATAAATAAATAAATAAATAAAATAAAAAAGACAAACTAGATTTTGGAAAAATAGGTAAAGCATATGATTGGGTGAGTCATAAAGAAGATGGCCCTTATTAAAGGAGGGCCATCTTATGAAGAAGTGCTCCTTTATTAAAAATTATGAAAATGCAAACATGCCAGTTAAGGAAAAGTAATACCACCATTCAACTTACAAGATTGTCAAAACCTTAAAAGCTTAACAGTAACAACCATAAGTGAGAATGTAAGCACACAGGGATTCCCAACCATTGCTCTTGGGAGGGCAAGTTAGTGCAGCTTGCTTATAGAGCAGGAGTCCTCAAATGAAAGGTAGAGAGAGTAAATGTTTCAGGCCTTGAGGGCCAACAGGCAACATTTAAGATATTATACAGGTACTCACATAATCATTTAATAATGCACAAACCAGTCTTAGTTCACAGACGGCATATAAAGCCTATTGACCAGATTTGGAATGGCTTGCAGACCTGTGTTACATTTGGGCAGTATTCAAATCTCAGAGTCCACTTTCTAGCATCTATCCTAGAGAAGCTCTCATACAAGGGGACACAATGTACAAATGTATTAGTCGCAACACTATAAAACAACCGAAATATGCACGGCAAAGGGAACTGATAAACAAACATGGTATATTCAGTCATAATTCATATATTCATGACGATATATACCAAATGAGCTTTATGTATACTAAGATAAAAAGATTTCAAAAGCCCTAACCGGTTTGGCTCAGTGGATAGAGCATCGGCCTGGGGACTGAAGGGTCCCAGGTTTGATTCCGGTCAAGGGCATGTACCTTGGTTGAGGGCACATCCTCAGGAGGGGGTGTGCAGGAGGCAGCTGATCGATGTTTCTCTCTCATCGATGTTTCAAACTCTGTATCCCTCTCCCTTCCTCTCTGTAAAAAATAAGTAAGATATATTTTTAAAAAAAAGATTTCAAAAAACAATATTAAGTGAGAAATTCAACTGACAACCAATGTAGAGTTTGATGTCACTTATTTTGAAAGTTGCTGCTACTAATGATTTGTAAGGAGGGAAACACCTGGTCATATATAACCTGGCCTCAGAATGGTGTGTGGTCATCAGAGCAGAGAACTGGGACATCAGGTGTCTCCACCAGAGTGGTCATCAGCGCACTACAGTAGCACTTCTCAAACTAAAAACAATATTAATGTTAAAAATGAATGGTATACAGCGGTTGCCAACCTTTCGGACCTCACGGGCCACCAGTGGTCCTCAGGCCACCGGTTGATGACCACTGGAAAATGTTTGTAGATGATAACCTTAAATTTAAAAACACTGTATATTTTAAATAGATGCCTATACTGTATACTGTACATGTGTGGGAAACTACTGTATTTCATTTAATATACACATTTATTTTCACATTTTAACAACTCTGAAAATGGGATGCACCTTATCATCTATGTGTATCATTTAATTGTTGTTTTTTTGTTAATGTTACACAAAATAAGAATCTTCTTACAGTTGATAATATGTTAAATTTAGTGAAATATGACTTAAAACTGGAAGATGGATTCATACCAAATTCATCATATTCACTGTTTGGGAGACAATGATCATTGTGTGGGGAAAGGAGAAGGAGGGAGAGAGAAACTTGGTACAGGAAGAATCATAAATGATACTTTAAACTGAACGATAATACTTTACATCTATATATTGAAAACATCTGAAGTAACATAAGAACATTTTAGCATTCATTAATATACAGCTTTAAATGCACACACCATCTTACTTAGACTGAAAGGCACTCAGTGTTGGTGGACAGCTATGATCATCCACTATTTCATGGCTGAAATCTCCTTCAAAATACAAGTCCAACTCACATGGAGGTGGCAAACTTGGGCACTAGGTGTGGGGCATTATTATCTTAAGTTTCAGATATAACATGGCACAGAGATCAGGGAAGTTGTCTGGTTCTTCCAAGTCACATATCTAGTGACCAGCAGAGCTAGAGCCTGAATCTAGATTTTGAACTCCAACTCCATACTCTTGTACTCGGCCACACTTACTAGACCACCCTCATTGACTTTTCAATTCTCAATTGCTTTACAGATTTGAAAAAATTATGAATAATAGAACGAAAAATTTCAATTTTCAGTTTTAACTAAAAGCTACCTTTAGGAAACAACAAAGAAATTATAATAAGTGTTTTGAGCAGATACTTAAATCAGTCGAATGAAGGGATGAAATTAGATATGGTTTTCAAGCTGTGCTTGATGGGTTCCTAAAGGCTCAGGTGAATCTCAGGAATCCTCAGAAGTGTCCCAGGTTCCACAATCAGTGCCATGTTTTGGCCCAGTAAGGAAAATTTAGACTACCCAAGTAGTCTCTGTACAGATTTAACAAAATATTTTATTATATTAGCAATCCCTGTAGAAGTTCACTTGAAAAAAAGAAGTTCACTTGAAAAACTAGACAGTTTTTCTTTCTGCTTTCACAATGTGTGAGTCTCAGTCTTAAGAATCAAAACTATATCTCTAGGTTAGCAAACAATTATATTATTTTTTTTAAAATATATTTTTATTGATGTCAGAGAGGAAGGAAGAGGGAGAAAGAGATAGAAACATCAATGATGAGAGAGAATCATTGATCAGTTGCCTCCTGCACATCCACTACTGGGGATCAAGCCCACAACCAGAGAATCTAACCATGACCTTCTGATTCATAGGTCGACGCTCAACCACTGAGCCACGCCGGCCCGGCAACAATTATATTGTTTTAATAGAAAAACAATTACATAGATTATTCTCATAATTCACGATTTCAATCATATCTGTCCTGCATTTAACCCATGATCAACACTCTCCAAGGTCTTCCATAGTTTTAAAGGAAAAATAAACACATAATAGGTGCCTAATAAACATTAGTTGAATTCATGAGTGAATGAATGAATAAATAATGACAGACACAGACTTAAAGGTCCTGGAAAGGAGCATACAAAGACCTCAGGGCCAAGTGTCCTGGGAACACCAGCACAGTCCGAGTTGGCTCTGGAAGCCAGACCTCCATTCCCACTACTCAATGTTCTTTCCTTTTGTGAATATTTTAAAAGTTACCCCATATAAAAAAATGCCCAAACAATTTCTTTGTGATCTTACTGTTTGAACCCAAGATTTTACACCACATAACAATGCATCCCAATTTACTTTTTGATAAACATGTCTTAGTTTTAAAAGCCTTTGCCTATAGCAAATGCAACCTGTAATATAACATCTAGTTTCTCAAGCACTTGTTTGATTCATAGATATTTAGAATTGGAAGGGACCTTAGAGGTTTTACTTTAGTGACTCTTGAGCAGAGGTTTGATTTGATGCAGATATTTTCACTGACAATAGTGTGTTTCATAACCTAAGGAAGTAGCAATAAGTAGTTGCAAGACCATAGGCTTTGAGACCAGGCAGACCTGGGAATTTTCTGACTCTAACATTTACACTCCATGTGACATTGGGCCAATTACTTAACTCCTCTGAACCTCAGTTTCATCAACTGTAAAATGGGAATATTATCTAACTTGGTTGTACCAAATATTAGGAATAAAATTGCGAAACATTTTGCCTCTCAATAAGTAAGAGCAGTTGTTTTTATTTCATGTATTCATAATAAAGGGTACCATTCTGAATCCTTAACTTGGAACTTTTAACATAAGTGTAGAGCTTAAGTTTGCTTCTTAAATATGCATCAATTTATTACATAGAGATGTACATTTCACATTAGAAAAACCTGAGAATTACATCCCTTAGTATGTAATAGGCTACATTTCATAGCATTTTTTCTTTGTTTTTAATAAAAATACATTAAGGGGAAAACTCTGTGTGACAGAAGTCAATTTTTTTCTTGGATTTAGTATTAGCTTTTATTGTGCTTTTAAAATATTTTCAGCTATGTGTTTTATTTTGTCCCCATCAGTTTCTTTCTGTTCCACATAGCAAAAAACACTGAGCTGATTTCTAATTAACTGACTGGATCCTGAGGTCTCCAGCTGCTATCTTCAGTTTAATTACAGCTGTGAAGAAGATGGAATGAAATTGAAGAGAGTGTCTATACAAAGTTAAAAATAATAATAATTACATAATTCTGGTTTGATCCTTAGATCATGTTGGATGTGAATGATTAGAGATGTTTAAATTGGTATGCAAATGTGAGATTTCTATTTTGTTTTGTCTTGTTTTCCCTCATGCAAACACTTGTACCTGGTAGAGACAACTTCCTAATTAAATCTGAAATCTAGTTCCTGAAGGTTCATTGATTCCTGGAAATTTAGAATGGAAGGGACCTTATCCAACCAGACTATTCTACATTGGTTCTCTGGCTCCATTTTGAAATTGAATGTAGGCCAAAAAATCTGTTGATGCTCATCCCATTATGAATTCTAAGACATAATTGAAAAAAAGTGCTAAACTCACCAGAGTGGCAAAAAGATGATAGAGAATGAAATAGATGGCAACCACAGGTGCCCACATGTGTCCCACAGCATTTAGAGTTTGGTCCATTACGTCTACCCATCCTTCCTGGGTAAGGATCTGGAACATGGACATAAATGCCTACAGAGGAAAAGAATGGAGGTATTAAACACCAGTTTAAGGCTTGCATGCAATTTTAAATTAGTGTATGGTGTTTGAGGACTTTGATCTCAATATTAGTGATTTTTATCTGAGTGCTCAGGGGAAGAACAGCCTTAATCAAACAGATGGGAAAGGGCTGAGAACTAAAGATCCTAAAAGCCTAATATCTAACTATTCAGTGTAGCAAACTAAAATAATTGTCCTTAATTAAAATTATTCTTGTTGGTGGTAAATACTGTTGAGAAAAATTGGAAAAAAATTGAGGAATGTAGCTTATTATTGCCTTTCTTTCTTTTCTCCTCCAAGTTAACTTTTTAACATTTCCAACAGATTACTGTATTTTTATTTTTACTGCTAAGCACAACTTGTTTTTTTGTTTTTGGTATTTGTAAATACTCACCTGTGGGTATTTTTTCCATTGATTTTAGAGAGAGTTGAAGGG